CTATCAAACTTTGGTGAAGATAGATAGATAGATAGATAAATAGATAAATGGATAGATAGATAGATAGATAGATAGATAGATAGAGAGAGAGAGATAGATAGAGAGAGAGAGAGAGATAGATAGATAGATAGATAGATAGATAGATAGATAGATAGATAGAGAGAGATAGATAGAGAGAGAGAGAGAGATAGAGAGAGAGAGAGAGATAGATAGATAGATAGATAGATAGATAGATAGATAGATAGATAGAGACATAGATAGATAGACAGTTAGATAGATAGATAGATAGATAGATAGATTCGATAGATTAAAAAGATTAGATAGATTAGAAAGATTAGATAGATTAGATATATAAATAGATAGATAGATAGATAGATAGATAGATAGATAGATAGAGACATAGATAGATAGACAGTTAGATAGATAGATACATAGATAGATAGATAGATAGATAGATAGATAGATTCGATAGATTAAAAAGATTAGATAGATTAGAAAGATTAGATAGATTAGATATATAAATAGATAGATAGATAGTTAGATAGATAGATAGATAGATAAGGTAGAGAGATAGATAGGTAGATAGATAGGTAGGTAGGTAGATAGATAGATCGATAGATAGATCGATAGATAGACGTGTATATATACATATATGTACATATGCACTATGTTCATAAAGAAGTCAGAAGGGGACTCGTGCATCAGAAGTGGCCTGTCGGTGCTCCCCACTGGCCACGAGGATCCTGGTCGTCTTTTGGCTTCAGCCTTTTTTTTTACCAACTGCACAGAGACAAAGGCCAGGCTCGGGTTCTTTATAGAATTCAAGGTTTCGCAATTCTGTGTATACAAACAAACAACAAGAACTTCATGCATATGTACATACATATATATATATATATATGTGTGTGTGTGTATATACATATGTATATATAACTTGAATTTAGCAGAATAGGTCTGGCGTACTTCCTCTAGTTTGCAAGTGCAGATTGCCAGCAAGCTGTGGGCTCCAACCTAGCCACCAAGTTCAAAATCATGGTTTGGGGTTCAGGGCTCAGGGTCCGGGATTTAGGGTTTAAGGATTTTGAGGATTAGGGATTTCGAGTTTAGGGCTTAGGGTTTAGGGTTTAAAGATTTAGGGTTTAGGGATTTCAGGTTTAGGGTTCAAGGTTTAGGGTTTAGGGTTTCCGGGTTCAGGGTTAAGGGGTTTAGGGCTACCCTTGAGAAGGCTCGAAACGAACCCTCAGCTTGCCCTAGCATTGCGCCACACTGTGCGCAGAACTACGCCCTGAACACAAAAACATGAAAAGTTGAATCTCAACGGTGCCACTCTCAGAGTCTCAACAGCAAACGACACCTCTCTCTCTCTCTCTTACAAGCCCCGAACACCAAACTCTAAGCCCGAACGACAGGTCCTGAGCTAAAACCGACCTGCCTTCCACCCGATCTTCAACAAAAAAACTCCTTAAGCCATAAGCCCTAAACCCTGAAACCCTAAACGCTGAGGTTTGTCATGGTGCTTTCAAGGGCTGGTTTTATCGGGGTTTATACGAGATTTTATGTGCGAGTTCCTTTACAGGCTTTTCTTAGTTTCGCTAAGGTTCTATACGGGTTCTACACGGGCTGGGTACAATCAGGGCTTCAATTACAGGATTACAATGATGGTTTCGATAATGCCCCATAGAAGCTTACTGAAGTGCCCTAAACCCTAAACCCTAAACGGGGTCTAAGGAGTCTAAGGGTCTTGGGGGTAAGTTGAAAACACTAACTACCACAGGGCAGCGGAACTCTGCAACCATGGGATTTGTACAGGGATGCCAAAAAAAACACCCCGACTGAAGGGGGGGCTCGGGCTGATAGCTACCAGATAAAGTTTACGGTTTTAGTCGCCTTGCACCATCAACAGAACTTGACATGGCTGAAACCCTGAACCCTAAACCCCGAACCCTAGACCCTAAACCCTGAACCCTAAATCCTTGAACCCGAAGCTGAAAGCTTCCAGGCGAGGGCAGCCTCTGACCCAGTGCAGGTGTCCACGTGCAAGCAGCCCCCAAGCACTGTGCTAACCTCGGGTCAGGGTTTAGGGTTTAGGGTTTAGGGTTTAGGGTTTAGGGGTTTAGGGTTTAGGGTTTAGGGGAAGACTTCATGCAGCTTCCTGGGGTCTTAAAACTTGTAGAAATGTTTTTTGTTTTGCATTTAAGCGGTTCAGAGACATTTAAGGTGTTGGGAAAAAGCGGTTGGGGATTTGGCGGCTGGAGTTAGGCAGGTTCTTGGCATTGGGCCTATTTCGGCTATGACCACCAATGTTGTCACTATAATTCTGATTCTTCCTATTGTTGCTATTGTTTAACACTGATTATCCTTATTGGTTGTTGTTGTTGTTAGAAGCGGAGGAGGAGGAGGAGGAGGAGGAGGAGGAGGAGGAGGGCCCCGGAAGCTTAGGGGTAGGAACGGTACGACGAGTAGGAACGGTAGGAGTGGTTCTATAAGACTACGCTTCAAGTAGCACCGGAAGTTGGTGCAGCTGTAGGGGTAGCAGTCGTCATTTGGTCGTTGCCGTCGCCTAAACCAAAACCCCAAAACCCTAAACCCTTAGTCTGGGGGCCATGACAACCTGTGCGCCAAAGTCTGAGGCTCGGGCTCCAGCAAATAAGTTCTGACCCATCGAAGATTTGAAAAAGGCTTTAGGGTTTAGGGTAAAACGTTGCCGCAACTCTGCACTTGTTGAAGGGGGGGGGGGGGTTCTAAACCCTAAACCCTAAACCCCTAAACCCCTAAACCCTAAACCCTAAACCGAGACTTTAGGGTTCGACTCTCGACCATCATGGTGTTCTTCCTTGAAGTCCCCCTTCTTGCCTACCGGGGCGGCAGGAACCCCTCCCTGGACCCTCATCCTGAAGCCCTATGCCCTCGCAATCCCCACAGCCTTAACCTCAGAATTCTTAAAACTAGATGACTCTAGGACCCAAGAAGACCTAAACCCTGTAACCCCTTAGCCCTCACAATCGAACCTTTGCAAACCCTTAGCCCTGAACCCTAAGCCTCAAAAATCCCCGAACCCCCATCCTCCCCCAATCGCTGCCAGAAGTCAGTGCAAGCCGAGCCGTGTCGCCCTCGGCAAAGGCCGCCGTTGCCACGGTCCTCTGCTTCGACACTGTAGGCATTTCGTAAGGTTTCTAGAAGGGCCCTGCAAGGGCTCCGTAGTGGCTCTGTTCGGGTTCAGGGTTAAGGATGTCTGTGTTTAGGGTTTCAGGGTTTGGGACTTAGGGCTGACGCTCCCAACTTCAGGCGAGGTCTCTGTGTGCGCAGGTCAGAGCGTGAAACTTCTGAGAGTCGGCCAACCAATATCGACCAGCACCGTCACCTCTGCACCTCAAACGGTCGTGGTCAGCTCTCAATTCTCCGTTCTCTGCCCTGAACCTGGCCGCGGCCGGGTAGGGTTTAGGGTTTAGGTTCAGGGTCTCGGGTTGAGGGTTTGGTTCGGGGGAGTGGCCAGCGCCTTGACTTGAGGACCTCTACAAAGCTTCGTTGCAGCCACCTTGGTTTGGCCAGCGGCCACCGTAATGGTTCCGCTTGCCCTGCGGATCGTCCTGGCCCTGCCTTGGCTCCTGGTCCCCTCTGTCGTTCCATCGCTTGCTTTGTAGATCTTCCTGGCCTTCAGCTGCCTAAACCCTTTTTTGAACCCAGACTCTGCCAATCAGCTGGGTTTAGGGTTTAGGGTTTAAGGGTTTAGGGTTTGGGTTTAGGGTTTAACCCTAAACCCTCAAGTGTTAATCCAAAGGAGGCCATGGTAGCAGCCGTGAGCCTCCGTTCCTCCACCGTCTTATTCTTCCTCTTCCCAGATCATCCAAAATCATTTAACTACGGAACATATATCTTAAACCGCAATAGGATTCCTATTCCATGTTCGGGTAGTATATATTCCTTAATCAAGGCTTATTGGAAGATCTGGGTTCTTCACGCAGCCGGGTCTGGACCATGTAAGAACTACTTTGCCGGTTATCGGCCTGCAGACTCCTTCGAAAAGCCTGCTCAAAGCTTTCGTTGGACAACTTTATATACAGGCTTTTGAAAGCGCCTTCCGGATTATAAACGGGTCGTAGAAGAAAAGGGGAGCAATAACAGTAATGGTGCCTAGGACCGTAGGGCTTCGCAACTCCGGGTGAGAGCTTTGGGTTTGTACGGCGCTACAAGGCTACCAGGCCCTATGGGATTTCTGATGCGCAGCTTCCGAGCCCTTCAGCGGCGGACTTCTATATGGGGGACTCTTTCCATAACAGTCATTCCGAACTGCCGGGCTGGACCTTAACAGGGTTTAAGGTTCAGGGTTTGGGGGGTTCGTCTGACTTCAAGACCCCCACCGGAGAACCCAGGACGAAGCTTCAATACCTAACCCTGAAACCTCAATTTCAGATTCAGGGCTCACGGTCGAGGGGTTAATCCTGATATAGGGGCCTTAATCATTAGCAACAGGGTTTGGGCATATGATGTTAAGGAACACTAAGCCACAGTATTGATAGCTGTTTCTATACTATAGTAAGGGTCTGAAGTACCCAGTAGTAACAGTAAGGTACTTGGGTTCGGGATCGTAGTAGCTTAGTAATTCGGAGCTTCTATGATTCGTAGGTGGTTTGACTCCTAGGGTAACTGTCTTCCCCCTGTCAATGAACACATGTCAAGGATAACGGGCACACACAAAGATATAAATATGTATACATATACATATATGTATGTGTGTGTGTTCAGTTTTGTACTTGTTTGTTTATATCATTGTATATACATATATATATATGTGTGTGTATACGTGTATGTATATA